TCTCTCTCTGTCTCTCTCTCTCTCTCTCTCTCTCTCTCTCTCTCTCTCTCTCTCTCTCTCTCTCTCTCTCTTTCGCACGCCAAAACGGAACAATTGCATTCGAAAAGCAAAGCAACTAACTGTTCTTGAGATAATCAGCTTGGATATATCCTAAATTGCAACACAGTACCGAGTTTTAACAAGGAATTTGTTAGTAAAATATTTGATTTCATTTATTCATGTAAAATATTTTAAACGGGTTTATTGCTCTGCGAAACAATAAGGTGCGATTAAAAACATCTTTGTTCCAGTTACCGCGAGTTGGTGCATGCAATCACACAGAGATATCATGATACCACCTAACTTCTAGCAGCATAAAAGAACAAAACTTACCGCACTGTAGTCTTCTTGTTAAATATCTTCCGCGATTAGTGAAACGTTACTAACAGGCCAGCTCTCTATGAAGAACTCAATGTTATCTGTGACTTTGCTTCTTTTCAAAAGTCCTAAACATCAATCAATTGAATATGAAATTGACACCTGTAAATTGGGGAAAAGTATTATTAAAGCTCAGTTTACAACTGACAGGACTTGCTTGCACCTGTAAAGCTTGGAAACAGCGCATGCTCAGCTACATTTGTCCAGGGTAAACTTCTCAATATATGCCAGCTAATGAAACATTTTCGGCCAGCGAGAAAAATAGAAATTCGTCCTACTGAATAGGAAGTATTAATAAATGTAAAACCAACCAGAAAAAGCGTTTCAACCAAGAAACGTTCTTGAATACAAACAAAAGCTGTTATCGAAATTGCTCTCCATTGTCGTCCATCGTTCAGTGGTAATAACCAATTTTCTGCTAACAGTAGATTGATTGAATTAAAAACTGACATAAACTTATTGACCTTTTGAAACAGTCCCTAATTCCGTGCAGTGGTGGCAATGACATATATCCCACCAAGGAATTTAATTAGTTTTATTTGCAGATACTGAAGTACATAGTGCCCACTCTTCAGTCCCTGTTTGCCACGAGCACGTAACAAAAGGTAACACTATTGGTTACCTAAATAACTAACGATGAATTGGTTCTTTTCCTTCAAACTAAAACTGGCAAGAAATTGCTCTTTGCAAACACGTACTTCCTAAACTTTAGCGACGATAAACGTTTTGAAATAACCATTTCGGAAGTAACAACGTATCGTCCTGCAAGGAATTTAATAATTTTTATTTGCAGATATTGAAGTTAAAGACACTAAAAATTGAGTTGTAGTCTTGCTTGTCCAGTACTCAGTCATGGCATCAGTGTTACATGCACGTAACGATGAGTTCTTACCATTGGTTACCTGAAAATGATAATTCGAAAAAGTTGGGAAGCTGCCAATAAGCTGGCCGGCTTTGGAAATAAGTACTTTCCCTCCAATTGTGGCAATAAGTTGTGTGAAATAACCTTTTCAGGAATTTCGGGAATAGCAACATGTCGTTTAGGAAAGAATTTAATTATTTTTGTTTGAAAAAATTGACATATTAAATTGAGCTGTGACTTTGTTCTAAGAGCTGGCCAATTTTGCAACTGTTGACAATGAGATTGACAGCAGCTGGAAATTGTTAATAGCGCGTGTGCAGCTATATTTGTGCGGGGTATCATTCTTAATATTTACTTAAAGAACAGTTTTTGTTTAGATAGAAACGCTGAAAATTCGTCCTTAAGAAAAAGAATTTAAGAAACTTTAGGACAACAAGAAAGAGGGTCAAGGCTTACAACTGTTCTTCCATTCGTAACTAGAAGCTTAATGCCGACGTGCTGCACGGTTAAAGATCACAATTTTAAACAAAATAGGTCAAAAAGCGACGAACGAAGTGGGAATGATAACGCAAGCTTGTCATGAGTTGCTAAGGGAATCATCCACTCGGTTCAGAAATTCCTTTGATTAAACTTGAGTGCCAAGAAAACGGTTATTGTCAAAACAAAAAGACGTTTCAAGTAATATATCAAACACGAGAGACAGTGTTTCATCGGGATATCCAAACACCGAGAAGAGAGTTGAAAATATGACTTACAGCGGAGTATTTTTGACGAAATTCGACGTGTTTGGATAGCCGAGGAAACACTGTCTCGAGTGTTTTATATATCTTCTCAATCGAAACAAAAACTAAGGAGTACACGGAGAAGTAAAATCGTCAAAATCTATGTAATTAAGACCGGGTATCCAAACCTCCTTCACGGTTGTGATATTCTTTGTTTTAACTTGATGAATTATTAATGAGTTTGAGAAGAACAAAGCTAATGTAATAGATGCTAAATGTTGTCGAATTTTCCCTTAGTTGTCGTTCATTGTTTCGTTATTACATGTGTCACGCACATATGACAAGAAGGTATTACTATTGTACACCTGTAATAGCCATTTTCCGACTGATTGGCCTTTTGAAATTAGCTTTCCGTGCAGTGGTGAAGGAAAGTGTTTTGTGGAAATGGACTTTTTAATTCAGAGAGAACAGTATAAGCTTATCGTTCACCGAAGAAATTAATTATTTTTATTCGAAGAAGTTTAAGCCTGGCTAAACTAGGAAACATTGCTGGGGAAACATTGTTTCTTGTCATGCTTTCGGGATGGCTAAGTTAGCGAGAAACAAACAGAATGTTTAAGGAGTTTTAGCAAACCACGACGGCGAAGTCAACGAGAACGTCACCAAACAAAAGGTTTAATGAACGTGAACTGCAATAGCTAAAAATTTTTCGCATCTTCCTTTGGAATTGAACACTGTCACTGCATGTTTAGCCTGAGCAAGTTTTTAGACCAATAGGTGTACTGAATCTTTTACCGGCGAATGTCTCTCTGTAAGACAGATTTTTCGCAAACTAAGAAAATGTGAAATCAAAAATAGCTCAAAATCTGTCTTATAGATTTTTATTTTACTTTGCATGAATGTTAAGTCAGAGCCAATTTCTTATTCCTGAAATTTTGAGGTGGGGTCATGCGGGTAGATTTTGAGAAAAACGCGATTTAACCCACTAGTGCCCAGTCTCTCCTTAGGTACTCGCTCGTTCATTTTTGCCATTTGTTGACGTTTCATTGTTCAAGTTTCACATAGAATGGTAAAAGACTTAAGTAAACAATAAATAGAGAAAGGCAAAACATCTTGGAACATTTTTCGAAAGAGTTAGAAGTTGGGCTGTTTTAGTCCATCAAAACTCGGTAAGCCACCTTAATTACGTGCGCAGTAAGTATAAGCGAAATATTTAGCGTGAATGCTCTTAGACAAGAAATGCTTTAAAACACTTTACAGTGTTAGCTCAGTTATTTATACCAGCACATTTTCCTTTGATGTTCAAGATATCTGCATTCAAGTTCATGAGCTGCAGAGCATCATTCGCTACTAAGCAACACACTAACTCGACTAATACAATTGGTAGATACATTTTTATTGTAGTATTAGCTAGTATTGTGTTTATATGTTAAGCGATAAGAGTGAGCCGCCGTAGTTCAGACTTAAAGGGTCAAGGGCTGCGACAGCAATAGTTAACAATAATTCAAACCCCAACTGGCGGAAGCTAAGGCAAACCAGCTCCACTAACATAGAAACTTGTGACCATTGCCTTACTTTAAAAAATCAACCGGAAAAATATTCAGAAAATGAATAGATACAAGCAAGAGAAAATGAGGGGACGATCACAGTGGATGAAAGGGAAAACAAAGGACCTGCTGAGGAGGAGGAGGAGGAGGAGGAGGAGG